AGTCTATAATTTTAATGGTAGGTTTATTTGAACAGTGAGAGACGGAATAAAACAAAATCCAGAAAAACGCATGTCAAAAATGTTATAAATTGATTTGCATTTTAATGAGGGAAATAAGTATTTGACCCCCTCTCAATCGGAAAGATTTTTGGCTCCCAGGTGTCTTTTATACAGGTAACGAGCTGAGATTAGGAGCACACTCTTAAAGGGAGTGCTCCTAATTTCAGCTTGTTACCTGTATAAAAGACACCTGTCCACAGAAGCAATCAATCAATCAGATTCCAAACTCTCCACCATGGCCAATACCAAAGAGCTCTCCAAAGATGTCAGGAACAAGATTGTAGACCTACACAAGGCTGGAATGGGCTACAAGGCCATTGCCAAGCAGCTTGGTGAGAAGGTGACAACAGTTGGTGCGATTATTCGCAAATGGAAGAAACACAAAAGAACTGTCAATCTCCCTCGGCCTGGGGTTCCATGCAAGATCTCACCTCGTGGAGTTGCAATGATCATGAGAACGGTGAGGAATCAGCCCAGAACTACACGGGAGGATTTTGTCAATGATCTCAAGGCAGCTGGGACCATAGTCACCAATAAAACTATTGGTAACACACTACGCCGTGAAGGACTGAAATCCTGCAGCGCCCGCAAGGTCCCCCTGCTCAAGAAATCACCTATACATGCCCGTCTGAAGTTTATCAATGAACATCTGAATGATTCAGAGGACAACTAGTTGAAAGTGTTGTGGTCAGATGAGATCAAAATGGAGCTCTTTGGCATCAACTCAACTCGCCGAGTTTGGAGGAGGAGGAATGCTGCCTATGACCCCAGGAACACCATCCCCACCGTCAAACATGGAGGTGGAAACATTATGCTATGGGGGTGTTTTTCTGCTAAGGGGACAGGACAACTTCACTGAATCAAAGGGACGATGGACGGGGTCATGTACCGTCAAATCTTGGGTGAGAACCTCCTTCCCTCAGCCAGGGCATTGAAAATGGGTCGTGGATGGGTATTCCAGCATGACAATGACCCAAAACACACGGCCAAGGCAACAAAGGAGTGGCTCAAGAAGAAACACATTAAGGTCCTGGAGTGGCCTAGCCAGTCTCGAGACCTTAATCCCATAGAACATCTGTGGAGGGAGCTGAAGGTTCGAGTTGCCAAACGTCAGCCTCGAAACCGTAATGACTTGGAGAAGATCTGCAAAGAGGAGTGGGACAAAATCCCTCCTGAGATGTGTGCAAACCTGGTGGCCAACTACGAGAAACGTCTGACCTCTGTGATTGCCAACAAGGGTTTTGCCACCAATTTGACCCCTCTGTTTTGCGGGTGTGGACCAATCAATTTCAAGGACAGTGCATACATTATCTGTTTTGCAGAGGGGTCAAATACTTATTTCCCTCATTAAAATGCAAATCAATTTATAACATTTTTGACATGCGTTTTTCTGGATTTTTGTTGTTATTCTTTCTCTCAATGTTCAAATAAACCTACCATTAAAATTATAGACTGATCATTTCTTTGTCAGTGGGCAAACGTACAAAATCAGCAGGGGATCAAATACTTTTTTCCCTCACTGTATGATAATTGGTTTTTTACCCTTTACCCTTTTATCTGGCAACAAACTGACGCCTTTTGGCGTCATCTAGTCTAACACCATGTGAGATTAGGCTCTAAGGAAAGCTGTCTCGGGTGTGGACCAATCAATTTCAAGGACAGTGCATACATTATCAGTTATGTCTTTTTGTTTGCATTCCAACCGCATGTATTGTGGTCAATGCAAACATGACTCCTTGTAAAAAAGGTGTCAGTTTGTTGCCAGATAAAAGGTTAAAAAAACAATTATCATTCATAGAGGTGTTTCAGTGTAGTCTCGTATTATCCACTAGGGGCATTGCCCGAAACGTCGCCTGTTATATGTTCCTTTTAAGGCCGTGTTCATAATAATAATGCAATGTCACGTGCAAACTTATTTCAAACGTAAACAAGTGGCCATGAGCTCAGTGTCACCGGAAATCCAGGCGAGAGAGAGGGTAACGGGGCCTTGAAGTGTCTCTTCAAATTCGGCGTAGATTCAACGATGCTGATGCTGCTGCTGCTGCGGATTTGCAGCGAGTATTTACGGAGGCCGCATTCCAGACGGAGGTAGGTGCCACGGAAAAACGACACCCGGCACTGAGGGTGCCTCCTCTCCTCGGTGTAGAGAGGAGGTTAGGAGTCGCTCTGCTGATGCTGAGAGTTCCACCGTGAGCTGTGGTGCAGATGGACAGGAGCTGTGGTGCAGGGTGACATGAGCAGAGAGAGATACGGTGGACAACCGATTGTGTTGAGTTTTTGTTTTGTTTTGTAAATATACATCGGGGTCAATTGATGCAACGTCTTCTTGGTCACGTACAGACTTGGGTTGAGGCGCATTTCTTTTCCGCGTACCCCGACGTTCAAAAATAGCGGAGTGGATAATGTTCATAAGACTACCCCGTCTAAAATAGTGTCGCGGAATGCCTGAGTTTCCAGTGACGGCTTGCAACGCGCGGAATCCGGTCACGTACACTCGCACCGGGCACTTGGCAATGCAGGTGAACACGAGTGACAGGTTATATCCTGGACTGTACCGTGCGGTAGTAACTGTGGACCTGTCGTTTCGTGGTGAGCGCGCGGCGCTACGAACCCAGACAAACAAACACGAGTTCGATTCCCACCCACGGCCAACACCGGTGACGATTATGTGAACCGCTCCTGGGGACTCCCCTTGGTCGATCGGGCCTCGAATGAGTCCCCGGTGCGACGTGTAAACATCGCCACCGGGGAGACAAATGCGGCCCGGGAGGTGATGCTGGCCACCCAGCTACTCCTCGTGCACCGTGCCGGCCTTCTTTAGATGCACCTTAACAGCACTTGCGATCAAGAATTTGTGAAAACTGTATGGGGGGGGAGGGGGGGATCTTTGTCTTGGAAGAAGCTGCGATACCGGCCACCCGAGTTCGATGTCCACTAATTTTAGATGCGGCTGCTTCTGCGGACGTCCGGAACGTTCCTCCTTCCGATATTCGGAAGCCACCGGAAGCTGCGCGCTTTGAAATCGTCTACATTGACAAAACACATTTCTTTAGAACCGATATTTTTTTGTGTGTGTTCAGTTTGTTGCCCTTACCCCCTCGAGACACACACACGCACGCACGCACACACACACACAAAGATCAAAGATCCCCCATATAGCCTGAACAGACTGTAGGGGCAAGTGCTGTTAGCGAGCACCTATAAAGGCCGGAACGGTACACGAAGACCAAGGTCTCCCGTTTAGCCTTAAGAGACTGTTGGGGCAAGTGCTGCTAACGAGGGGTGTGTGGCCAGCACCACGCCCGACCGCCTTTGTCTCCCTAGTGGCAATGTTTACACACCGCACCAGGTACTCATTTGAGGCTGAGTCGACCTAGGGGAGGCCCGGGACCGGTTCAGATAATCGTCACTGGTGTTGGCCGTGAGCGGGAATCGAACCCGGGTCGCTAGGTTCATAGCGCAGCGCGCTAACCGCTACACTATCGCTCCCCACACAGAATCACACACACAGTCACACACAGTCACACACAGACACACACACAGCACGTATCCAGCTATCGGTGTCCGTGGCCGTGAGCGGGAATCGAACTCGGGCCCGCCGGATTCGTCGCGCCGACCGCTCCCCGCCCGCGCGGTTCCCCACGCGCAGACACAAATCGAGGCGGCTAAGAGCGTTCCACGGGTGATTTCAAATCGGTTTAATGTGAAAAGGCGCGGTACACTAACTCGTCTTAAAACGTAACCCCCCCCGCCCCCGCCCCCCCCCTTGCTTGCTGCGGCACTCAAACTGGCGGCTTCGCGGGTCCGCAAACCAAAAAGCGAAGTTGGCGCACGCGCGCGCTTGGGATCATGGCGGGGGGGGGGGGGAACGCACGCGCGCGTCCGTAACACCCAGCAGTCGTGACACAACCCTGACACCAGCACCCCCCCCTCCCCTTTTCAAGTATTGCTGAAGAATGCCCCCCCCTCCCCCCTGGGCCCCCCCCCCCCCGCTTCACCATACCGCCTGCCCCAGGTATTGCATATATTTGCCGCATTTTCACAAACGCGTCGTCTATTACTCCGAGCGGGTTTTACGTTGCACGCGAAAATAAAAAAGCACGTTTTATAACGATGCTTCCCATATTTTTTTTTTCATTTTGTTTTGCTTAAGCTTTTAAATACAATTGCATCAATTCTGAGCTGGGGAAAAAGAAAAACCAGGGTAGAGGGGGGGGAACAACCGCGGGTTAACTTCCAAGTTAGACAGCAAGTAAAGTACGTACATGCAAATAAATATGTTCGTGCCTTTTTTTTTGAAAGCCGCTCTTTGGTATCCCACGGTTGTGCGCGGACACTAGAGCTCTTGAAAGACGCAACATTTAATCATTCTCTTTACAACAACGGCAACAACAACAACAAAAACCCCACTCGATCTGACAGCGACGTCGATGGCACTGATAATAAATAAAAACCATCTGAAACAAAACAATAAAGGGAATAAATATGCTTACAAAGGTAAGACTTGATTCTGGAGGGAGCGACGTTACACGTTTGGCGCAAACGATGCTTCCCCGCCCCACCCCCCCTCCCGACGTGCGCTTTTTGCTCGGCATTTTGGTTTTCCAACGGCGAGACAGATATCGACGAGGCAAAGAGATGCGTTCTTGTGAAAGCACGAGTCGGAAGGAAGCTGCATCCTTTACAGGCGCTCTCCCCGTTTCACCGAAATTGGTGGGGCCGACTTGCCCGTGAAGTCAAGGTCAGCGCGCTGGACTTGAAATCCCGCTTCGATGCCACGTGCTGGCGAGGCAGTGGAAACCCGCAATGGAGCGACTTTCAGAAAAACGCAACAATCAGCCACCTCTGCCCCCAGCCAGCGGCACAACTGGTCGCACCAGTCGGTAGGATCGCAGGTCGCGTGTGGTGGGGTAAAGTGTGGGTGACTCTGCCACCTCTTCAACAACGTCTAGTCGGCGTGGCCGAGTAGGCCGAATAGCCTCGAGGCCCTTCCATGAGCAGTGGCGTAGAGCAGGCAATTACAGGGGCTGCACCTTTATCTTTGTACTGCCACTATGGCAGTACGAATGAACCGCAATACCTTTGCTGATCTCGTCAAGGAGCATATCATCACGTGAACTCCGGTTATCCTCACAGCGGCCTTTGGCTAACCATTGAACAAAGGCGGTCACCGCACCACACGCTTGCACGTGCGCTTCTGCGGCCGTCTGGAACGCTGTTCCCTCCGATGTTAGGGAGACATTGGAGCTATGCACTATTAAATCGAGACTGAAAACTCATTTCTTCAGAGTTGCTTTTTGTGTTTAGCTTGTTGTCCTTCCCCCGCACCTCCGATCGGCACGGTTGACTACGTACGGTGCGAAAGAAGATAAAAAATACACCCGTACGTTATGCGCCACGAATGAGGCCGACAAGTCTTCAGCACGGAGCTATTTCCTGCTTTCGCGTGCTCAGCGGAGCATGCAGGGGTCACTGGGAGAGTATGCGGCTGAACCCAGAGGGCAGAGGGAAGAAAAGCGAAGCGTTGGCAAGAGAGAAATGACTGGCTGGAGGAGCGCTGGAAGTGAATTCCAACGCCGGACGGCCAAGTGGTGAGTTCGCTCCTCCCTGAGAGCGCCTCTCTGTGCATGGGGGATGACCGTTCAAGTTGAAACAGCCGCCACTGCAGCACAGTGATAGCACGCCGAGGTGATTGTTCCAGATGACAACATGGATGTTAAATACCCTGCAGCATCCAACACCCCCCCCCCCCCCGCGGAATGACAGCAGAAAACCGAGCTTCAAGTCCCACGCCCAAATTACAAACGCGAAACATTCTCTGGCAGCGAATTAAGAAAGTTTGTTTTGTTTGTTTTTGTTGTAACTGAAGCAGAGCGGGGAGACGCGAGAGAGAAGCGACGCCGCTCGCCGTCTCTCGGATTGCAAACGTCGAGGCGGTAAAAAAAGGGGGGGGGGAGAGGAGCAAAATTCTGCACACTGCCACTATCGAGGCCGACTTAAAAGGCACTACTTTATCAATTAAATAAAACCAGTCTTCAATCAAGGCGCTCAATTAACAAACTAAAAAACTTTGGATGGCAACCGTAGGTGGAGTACGCGCGTTGAGAATCACGTGAGCCGAGTTGTTGATGCGAAAGGAGAAGGGAAAAAAAAAACAGATTTGACGCCGTGGCTTCCGAGAGTGTAATCACTTGCAAGGGCCACGTCCGAGTTGGTCGTGGAAACAGGTCGGGCCCCTGGCAGAGAGGGGCTCTTGGAGCCGCCCCCTCGATGAAAAACAAACAACAACAACAACAAGTACATCGCATGATTGTCTACCGGGATATGTGGATATGGTGAGCAACAACTAGAACAAAAAAGGCACGTTGCTTCATTAAATAAAATAAAAAAACGTCTTCTCGCTTGGCCGCAGCCGAGGCCCAGAGTCTCAGCCGGCACGGCTACGTCCTGACCTGATGAACTCGTTCCGACAAGACGAATGCAAGCCCCCCCCCCCACACACACAGTGCACGCAACGTTGTGCCTCAGCCATCCTTAGGCCGGCCCTCTTTATAATAAACCAAAGAGCGTGGCGTGATCTTGAGCGGTATTAAAAGAATTTGAGTGCACCGTGAAGAGATTTTTTTTTCTGTTAATTCAACGGACATGCCGTTTTTATCTCGGCGGCTGCCGCTCTCTTATTTTTTCTCCTCCTCCTCCTTCTTCTTCTTCTTCAGAATTTCGCCACCGTGACCGCGTGTTCACAGAAAGTCCCGCGAGGAGGGAACAGTGCGCCGGGAGCACGCGCAAGCGAAAGGAATTCAGAATTTCACCGCGTCCGTGCACCGTCGCGGGAGCATGAAGCCATCACGCAAAACTCCCGTCATCTTAGCAGCAGCGGCAGCGGCATTCTGGCCGTCAAACAAAGACGGTCACCGCATCGCGCGGCGTTTTCAGATGCGCCTTGTGCGGCCGTCTGGAACGCCTCTTCCTTCTGATATTAGGAAGCCACTGGAGCTACGCACTGTTAAATCCAAATTGAAAACCCGTTTCTTTAGAAGTGTTTTTTTTTGTGTTCAGTTTGTTGTCCTTCGTCCCGCACCTGCGATTTTGCACGGTTGGCTGTGTGTGGTGCGAAAAAAAATGTCAACATATGTACAGAAGCATCGTCAGTGGCTTTTTAAACCACACAGTACAAAAGGCGGTGGCCTCGTGTATCAGCCCCTGAGCAACCAGAATTTAAATCAGATCGAAAACACGTCAAAGAAGCCTCCGCAGTGACCAATCGGCCCATAATTCCACCAAATGCCAAACCATAAATGTTGTTTTAAGCTCTACCCGCAAACACACTCAAAAGAAGCGTGACATTTACAGGGTCCTTTGTAAAACAAAAGTCAGTATATTGTGCCTCATTTCTATAAATGGTGGGTGGTGAAGGGGCTTACTCACTACACACTCTGGCAACACGAAGTAAACCAAATCAAATCCACCATCAAACACACAAAAATACGTACACTATAATAACCATGTAATACTTATTAAAAGTTACTTAAGACACGAAAATAACAATTTGACTAAAACTGTTCATCGATGCACACACCACGCACAGCCACTCACAAATCAACAAACATCATCATCCTCATCACCATCACGGATCATTCTGCTTCATATCGTTTCCCCCCCCGGCCCCCTCTCCCACCCCCCTCCCCCCCCGCTACTGCTCGTGGTGTAAATTCTGACGAGTGTGAAGGCCACAGAGACTGCTGCAGGACCCCAGTGGCTCCCGCAGGACCACCAATCTTTGGAGGTTCCAGAGGGCGGGCAGACGGAAACCGTCACCGTCGCTTTGTTACAACCCTCCGCTCGATGCCCCCCCCCCCCCCCGCCCCCCGCCTCTAAAGAAGGGACTCATCTTAACCGCAGTACGCCGCGTCGCGTTTTAGGGCGAGGTCGATACAAAAAAACACAACAACAAACAGCCGAACGCACTTTGTAAGTAATGCAAAACAACGACAACAACAACAACAACGGATTTGACTGCGCCCGTCGTTTTAGACGCGGGCTGCCGACGCGGCAGCGCCGGGAGATTTAACGGTCTGTGAATCACAACCGTCGCTGCTCGTGGCTGCTCGTCGCTGCTCGTGGCTGCTCATCGTCGCACCACTGTGAACCGCGGCTGACCCCCTTGCAGCGGCCCATGCTCTTGGGGGGGTGGGCGGACTGTCGCGCGTTCCGGTCACTTTAAGGATTCTCGAAACCAAACAACAGCAGCAGCAGCAGCAGCAACAAAATCGCAAACCGCTCGACGGCGCCGAACCGGTGACGGCAGCGTGCGGTGCGCTGGCCGCCATGCGGGAGGGCCGCGCTTGAGGATTCGAGGATCACGGGGAGGAACTCCGCCGAAAATCCGCTCACGAAAACGCCGTAGGCTTCAAACTCCCGCAAACCAAAAAAATATTTTGCTCACCGACGCTCGCATATAGATTTTTCTTTCTCCGAGCAGCCGTTTGAGAGAGCCGGCTGTTATTTGAACAGGTTACATTTTTACAAACGAATTTTTTAAAATCCTGCACACGTCGCACCCTCCTGCGGGGGTGGGGGCGGTGTGGGGGAGGGGGGGGGGTTGTGTTTCCGTCGCGGTCGAGGTCATGCGGGGCTCTCTCTCCCCTTCACTGCGACGACTCCACCAGAATCTGCTTCACGAACGTGGCCACGTCCGTCTCCTTGCTGTCGTGCATCTTGAAAAACGGGTGCTCCTGAAACACGCAGGGGGGGGCGGGGGGGAGGAGGAGGAGCACCACGGTGGCGAGATGTTAACTACCTCGCCTAGTATACAGGAGCTCGTGGGTTCGTGGGTTCGATCCCGACCCTGATAACGCCTGTATATTTGTCTCTCTCCTCCGTCTTCTCCACGGAGAGAGAGAGAGCATGCAAACTCCAAATATACGGGCGTCAGTCAGGGTCGGGATCGAACCCACGACCTCCTGCATAACAGGCGAGCGAGTTAACATCTCACCGCCACACGTGGCTAAGTATACGAGGACCCTTGGAAACTAACGATTCCCGCGGGCCGACGCCGACCCACACAGTCACTCCAAACTCGTCCTACAATGACATTCGTGATTCATTCACGCAACTGTGAAATGACCGTAGTTGAGCCCGAAGAAGCTCGAGGCTTGTGTAAAAGCTGGAACGACAATAGCTGGGCGGCAGGACGTCGAGGACATCATGCCCAACAACACGCGGCAGGCACGAGGCCAGAGATCTCCGCCTTCCAACTCCGATCTGCCGTGCGTGTTGCGACCTCTACCGCACACAAGAGGCGTTGCACGCTCATTCCTGGGAAGTGCAAGGGGTGGGACCCGTGCTGGGTGGGGTTGCCCACCAAAGATTAAGCAAAGAGCCAAGGAAGGGGTTAGGTCGGTACCTACATGGGGTGGCAAATGTTACCAGTGTCCACCACGGGCAGTGTCAACTGCAGTGTCCACCACTGCAGTTGACACCACTGCAGTGTCCACCACGGGGAGTGTCCACCATGAGCAGTGTCCCCCACGGGGAGTGTCCACTATGAGCGTGTCCACCAAGTTTGGTTAACAATACAAACTAAACTATTCTTTTCATTTGACCAGGTAAGGCCCACTGAGCTACACTGCTCTTTTTCAGAAGCAACCTGGCCACAAATGATAGCTCAACGAAGTGGCTTGTCACGTGGACATTTCTAGCAGCCAAATACTCGAAATGCACGTTCATTCTAGATGTGGATTGGAAAAACCGGAGGACTCGGGGTAAAATGCACGTCCAGGAAAAACAGCGTTATAGCTCATCGGATTCCTCCAGTATAAATAAATTTCTGATTCATGTATGTGGGCCAGTGAGCCAGAGGATCAGAATGTTCGCATTTACCATCAGCTCGGCGTAAGTTGGCCTGTCCTTGGGGTTCTTCTTCAGGCTGAAATAAAATTTAAAAAAACGGGAAACAAACATTTAACTTTAAGTAAGATATCACAACGCACCGTCGCAAAGTGTTAAAGTAAAAAGTGTATGCGTCGTTCGACTGGCCATTCGTTTAAAAAATAATAAAAGCACGCTCTGTGCTGCTAACCTCCAACATGCAGTGTCAGACAAACAAGATTCCGTTTACATGCAATGAGTGTCACACAAACAAGATGCCTGGCCAGGAAGCCACATTTAGGTGTTGAAGAGTCCCTTCAGTGTTTAGTTTGGTCCACTCGAAGGCCTCGTCCGACTGGCCTGGACGATGGCATCAGTCGTGTTTACGTTAACACAAAAACGTGTAGCAGGTGGCGTGTGCGTGCGCGATTTACCAATGCGCCGCAAACTGCACAAACTCCGGGGAGAAACGGTCGGCGGGGAGCTGCGGCGACGGCTCGTCCACCACCTGCTTGAGCTGCTGGAAGGGCGTCCCCCACGACTCGTACGGGAACTTGAGGATGGCCAGCTCGATCTGCCACGGCAAGCACGGTCGCCCGCTTCACCACACCAACCCTCTCCTCCGTTCCTCCCTCCTTCTTCTCCCTCCCCCTCCTCCCCATCCTCCGTTCCGCCCTCCCCCTACTCCCTCCCTCCCTTTCCTGCCTCCCTCCCCTCTCTCCCTCCCTCCACTCTACAATCGCACCGCCAGGTTCAGGCCGAGCGGCCCGGGCCGTCACTGGCGCCTCGAGAGGGTGCCCGCGTTGTGGTTTTCTCGGTGCAGGCGGCCCACTGCCGCGACCGCCGCCCGGCCCGCTGCGACCGACGCACGGTGCTGCAATAAAGCCCCGGTTAAAAAAAAAAAAAACCGAGTTCCAGTCCACGCACTGCGGCTGTCGCGAAATGCAAGACGCATCCTTCTAATATGTGGGCTCTTATTCTTAGTTTTTTCAGAAAAGTCACGTTGAAGAGAAACAACAAAATAATAAAATATATATAAAACAATAAAAAAATTCTCACGACGTTTCGACCATAACTCAAACGGTCATCTTCAGGTGTGAAGATTTATTGTTTTATATATATTTTATTATTTTGTTGTTTCTCTTCAATGTGACTTTACCGAAAAAACTAAGAATATGAATTACTGCAGTCACGAAAGCTTTAAATCAAAAATGTGGGCTCTTGTCTGTGCTGCCTGCTCCGGGGGGGAGGGGGGGAGAGGCCCCGTCTGCCCTGTGAGCTGTCGGTCTGATTTTGGGACTCGCGCAAACTCCCTTTGGGGAAACGTCCGGCGTAGCCACCTCGGCATCACAGTGTGGGGGGGTCTCAGACCCCACCCCCACCCACCCACCCCCGCCCCCCCCTTTGTCGGTCTCCCTGCGTCTCGCTTGGCACCTCCGATTTTAGCTCTGTTAATCCTTCCCGCCGCACCTCCGATTATCCATGGTTGGCTACGTACGGTGCAAAAGAAGCTCAACACACGCACATAGCTTCTTCGTGTCTCTCTCCCTACGTCTCCTGCACATGAAACCACCTCTTTCTCCTTTGGTACGTAATCAACTTCGTTCGTGAATTCCGCTTACCATGGTGATGCCCAGACTCCAGATGTCGGACTTGACATTGTAACCTTTCTGGCTCAAGTCAGGGTTAATCCTCTCCGGCTGTAGACAAGAGGGAAGACAGCAAAAGGCACACAGCGGGTTCATTTGCGAATAAGATGTTTGCCGTCTCTTACCTGGTTGATTAAAGCACAGTGGATTTTGTAATTACGCCTCCCAAGAAAGTGACAACACACATGAGACATCACCTCCACAAAATAACAACAGGCAGAGCTTTCACGTGCAGAGAAAAACATAGGTCAAAGTCTACAGATCAAATAACCTACATGTATTGTTAAGTGCCGTAACGTACCGTTGCTGCTGGCAATGTAAGAGTAATGATGATACTGCAATAGCAATTATTTACAGATTTAAAAAAATACTCGCTCATAGGATGGCCCTGATATATTGGGTTGTTTGTCCAATACGATTCATGAGTGACGTGCCAGAAATGTTTTTAGTAGCCACAGAAAACCCAAACAGAAAAGGAGATAATGTACAAAGTTTTTTTTCGTGGACAGAGCCCCACTGCCTCCGTGTTCGCAATCAGAATATTTATTAATACTGCAGGAATCCGATGAGCTGTGAAGCTCTTTTTTTTCACAGACGTCCAGTGGGGGGGGGGGGGGGACATCCCGCAGCCCCACGACTACGACACGTGATCTGTCCACGTGCTCGCCCACTGAAGCGCTAAACAAAAAAAAACCTGCTGAGCTTCGGAGATTGGACGAGGTCGGGCGAAAGCGTCTGCGGGGTGATTGTATCGCGGTGGCGATAATTATGAAACCCATCGAGCGGTGCCGAGCACACCAAAACGTCCTGCAGAGGGCGCCACGCAACCTGCTGCTACCAATAGCTCTGCCTGCTCAGCGCCGGAGCAAAGCCTGCAAGCAGGGTCAAGCGTTCGCTCAAGTGTGCCTGGACAACGCGTGGAGAGGGTGGGGCGATGCTTTCTAATTACACTAAAACCTTGGATTGCGAGTAACTCGGTCTGCGAGTGTTTTGCAAGACGAGCAAAAAAAATAATAAATATTAATTTGATAAACGAGCGAGGGTCTGGCAATACGAGTAGTGTACGTGTACGCTTTGTACTGCCGAGCGTCACGTGATCACAACTGATAAACGAGTGCTTTGATATACGAGTGCTTTGGATTACAAACACGTTTTCCGAAACGAATTATGCTCGCAATCCAAGGTTTTACTGTACTTACCGCCACATCCTCTGGATTACAAGATGCTCCGGGGAGTAAGACGCACCCCAGACTAAACTTGTGCCCCGGGAGCGTCAATAGAGCTTCTGTACATAAATCTGGCGTGTGCACGCGCATTCACCCACACACCTGTGCGAGATAACAATTATAAGACGCACATCCCCAACTTGTTGCTTTAATTACACGCGGAAGGAGCGCGTCTTCATTTGACCCGGAGAGTACAGCAATGCGCAGCGCATTTGTTCGCAAACATTAGCATCGGGGAGACAAAAGTCAGCGAGGCATTCGGTCAAAATACATACGTACAACATACATCCAACATGCATGCATGCTTACTGCCATGTAGGGCTTGCAACCAGCATCCATCGTCTTCGCCACGGAGTCGACCAGGTAGCCACTGATTCCGAAGTCGCACATCTTCACGTGACCCTGCGTGTTGATGAGCACGTTTGAAGGTTTCACATCTAGTGGGGAAATTAAGCGGGTGGGGATTGGGAGACAGAAACTATTAAGCTAGAAACGACTTTTGATTTTATCAGGTAAGGCCACAGCGAGCTATTTTTCTCAAATTTTTTTCAGAAGCGACCTGGCCACAAATTATAGCTCAACCAAGTCGTTCATCGCGTGTGAATGTATAAGCAGCCCAAAAATAAAATCGGAGGACCCGGAGAAAAATCCACGCGACCACGGGGAGAGAGAGAAACAGAGAGACGCAAACTCCAAATATACAGCAGGCGTCCGCATTGGGACCGAACCCACGACTTCCTGCGTATAAGGCAAGGTAGTTGACATCTCCTAGCCACCGCCAATCAAAAGCACTCGGCTCAACAATTACAGTCGGTGGACGATGGGCGAGTAAGCAGCTGTGTGTGGAGGAGCTCGACAACAACACAATCCCTTACCTCTGTGAATCACGGACAGCTTCCTGTGCAAGTGCTCCAAAGCCTTCACGATCTGTTGAGAGGGCACACGCAAGAGGAACATTGTTTCACTCATTACAGCGCAACATTTAACTTCACGTATGCCCGCTTGTTAAACCGGCTCAGCATTGTGGATTGCATACAGGATGCTGTTTACAAAATCAGTGGCACAAAGTTCAATTATCAACGGGCTAGTAAATTGGGATAATACGGAGCAAATCATTGCTCCCCTTACTGGCAGCGGACACGAATGCCCGTTTGCAGGACAACAAGCTGCCGGAGGTGTCGGAGGTGCCGAGTCACCTTGTGCCCACAGGGGCAGCTGCCAAATGTGTTGAGATGAAAGACACCACAACACATCCTATTCTATTTTATTTTTATTTTACCAGGTAAGGCTTCACTGAGCTATGCAGCTCTTTTCCAGAAGCAGCCTTGCTATCACAAATGATAGCGCAACGAAGTGGCTTATCGCGTGGAAATGTACAGCAGCCAAATACTCTGAAAGCACGTCGACTCTAAATGTGGAGGGAGAAACCGGAGGACCCGGAGAAAAATCTACGCGACCAACGGGGAGAGAGACTCCGCAAACTCCAAATATACAGGCGTCGGGGTCGGGATCGAACCCATGCCCTGCTGTATACCAGGCCAAGTATTTAATATCTTGCCCACAGTGGTGCACGTGACGTGGCGTGGCGAAGTATGGTTATTTAACGTCTCGCCCACAGTGGTACACGTGACGTGGCGTGGCGAAGTATGGTTATTTAACGTCTCGCCCACAGTGGTACATGTGGCGTGGCGAAGTATGGTTATTTAACATCTCGCCACTTTGACGCCACATAGGAGGGTGGCTCCATGAAACACGAAATCGTGAACATTCACGTCCATCTAGAGCGAGCGAGCGAGCAAACGTGGCGATGACGCTCAGAGGCTGCGAACGGGCGAGGTGGGGACGGGAGACGTACGGAGACGGAGATTTTGCCCAGGATGTCCTCGGGGATCGTCTGCTTCTTCTCGATCACCTTCTTGTAGAACTTGTCCAGAGACGTGTCCAGCAGCTCCATGCAGATCCACACGTCGCCCTGCAAGCCCCACGATGGCAACGGTCACCCGAATGGCCAAACACTGTCGAGGCAAGAGCCGTTCGTGAGCACCTATTAAGACAGGCGATAACCCTCAAATGGCCCAGGTGTCGCCAGCACCATACCTGCCCACCTTTGTCTCCCCGCTGCTAGATGTTTACACACCGCCGCGGCTGGTACTCATTTAAGGCTGGGCCGACCTAAGGGAGGATCGGTTCACATAGAACTTAGGGAACCGGGTTTGTCACGCGGTGTGCTAACCACCGTGCTGCCGCTCGCGCGGCCACACACGGACGTGCGAGCAGTTCTATTGGCGGCAAGAAAGCGGTGGGAATTCCACATTCCTACAACAAGGGCGAGTCTATCCAGCCCGGCGGGAGCGAGCCCCTCGACTGTACACCGCTGAAGCACCCGGCACGTAAAACACAGCCATATGGAAATTCTTCACCCATAATAGGGGTGGAGCGGCGCATCCATTCACGTACATTTTTTACGGTCACGATGCATGCAATCGAATCGTGTAAAGACGAAAAAAGATATTGGGATTCGTATAAGTTGCATGCGATGTATGAATGTTGAACTTCTTTCGCACCGTACGTAGCCAACCATGCTAATCGGACGTGCGGGGGGAAGCAGTTCTGAAGAAATTACTTTTAAATCGTGATGATTTAAAGGTGCATTGTCCCATCGTAACATCGGAAGGAAGAGCGTTCCAGCCGGCCGCAGAAGCGCATCTGAACGCGCGCAAATGCCCATTTGCGATGGGTTCGACATGACCTCCTGCGGCCAGACCGGTAGTGTGACCTCGTTTAAAAGTGGGGGGGGGGGGGTGAGTTTGGGGACAATGCATGACATAGTCAACGTTAAACTTCAGACGGACGCTCGACGCCACCAGAGCGACCGGGTCACGGGGACCGTCTGCTCGACGCCGAATCGAGGGATTCCTCTCGAGCTTTCACCTCGCGGAAAAGCGCTCCGTAGAACGTGACGGTGTAGGGGCAGTCGACGGTGCGCATCGAGATGTCCAGGTCCATGAGCAGGCGCTTCTGCTCCTGCGAGTTCACCGTGGCACGTATGCGCTGCGGCGCCACGCACACAAAGACAAAGACCGCCACCACCCCGCATAACCTTCACAGACTGTTGTTGGGGCTAGTGATGCCGGCAAGCGCCTTATGAAGGCCGGCACGGTACACGAGGGGGTGGGTGGCCAAGCACCACGCCCGGGGTCAGGGAGTGGCGGGGTAAAGTGTCGATACTCCCCTCCTCTTCCAAGGCATCTGACCATCAGGGGACGAGTAGGCCAAAACACCCGCTCTCTATAGGGGCCCTCGTGAAGCGCTCCACATAGCGGAGGTCATTCTGCCGGCGCGGCTACTGCAGGGCTGCACCATTGCCCCGAGCTGATCGTCGTCATTCTCACCTTGACGGCCATGATGGTCTCGCTGGGTGCGTGCCGCATCTTCTCCACGACGCCGTACGCGCCGCGGCCCAGCTCGCTCAGGGTCTCCAGGTCATCGGCCTTCACCTCAAAGTTCTGCGGACACGCAGGTGGTCCCCGTCACACGCCACCGACCGGCGCGACCGGCGGCTCTCGACGACAGCACGTTATTTCCGCGGCGATATTTGCTGCTACGCGGGTCGGGAAAACTAACGTGCCGAACAAAGACATCGTCGAGGACCCCCAAGGTGGAAGTGCCGGGATTCTCTCTCCCGCGACGGCCGTGCACATCGCCGAGCCGCGTTCGGATGCGGCACGGGAGATGCGCGTCGTACATGTCCCACAAGTGGAAAATCAAAGAATCGCCAAACTGCGGTGAGGTCGAAGCCATCACAGGCGTCACCGACGAGCTGCGCCATCCACGCACACCCAGGCGGTATATTTCTGCAATCCGTAAGAGCGCCTTGGATTGGTTGCAGGACCCTTAACATTCAACTATGACATCGTCTACACAAACTGTGTGTATGAGCATGGCAGATTGTGCCATCGTAGACGCGTGAGGTATCACATTGGTGTGGTGAGGCCGAACATCCAGCTGTGGACTGATGATTGTAGCCCGTAAGCACAGTCATAAATTCGCACTGTGTTCGCCCTGTGATGTAACGCAAATCAATACATGGCATGTACACACAGTGCATCTGAACACACCCTGTGCCCGATTGTGTGCATGTGCACATTGCGTAAGTAATAGAATTGCTTAAATTTCTGTCACTGTGGTATGATGGAGTGCATACGAACCTTGTCTCCAATAGTGATGCATGCCTTTGAATCCAGATCTCTTGGTGGCCTAAGCAGGGTAAAAATAAAAACATATGAGAATTATAAAGCGCACATACCTGCTATAATCACCCAGGAATGTCCTTTAACGCTCGTAACGTCACTCCACGTCGACCAGCCCCCCTCATTAATAATCATGAGCAGATGACGTCACTCCAAACGGACACACACCCCCTCCATTAATAATAATTAGCGGGTGACGTCACTCCACATGGGGGGGGGGGGGGCGAAGCGCCTCCTCCCCCTCCTCAGCTACAAAGTCAGAACCCTCACGTCACGCAATCTCCGTAACGCTATTGAGACATAGAACTAGATTTTACGTCATGATGAACAAGGGATTATAACCTTTAAATGAAATAAGTCTGTGTCACCGCGGCCTTACAAATTGCACACGAATGGATGCAATGAATACCACGTCGAGATCTGCTTTTCGCTTGCAAGTTTCAGATTTACTGCAATACACCCGTCCTTGGATGGGCAAAATGCTAGTTTTTAAAGACATTATAATTGATAGAAGGAAGAATAAAAACCCAACCTCGATCAAACGTCGTACTCAGATTGTAAATGTTGTGGCTTGGCTCTCCAACACACCGGTGTGCTGTACTAGTGACGAAATGGCCACGTTCTGTTTACGTGACAACCCTTACTGGTAGTTTGGCTGTGTCGGGTGGTGGCGGGTTGAACGACACATTTATATATTTACGCGATCTAACGCAAAAAGCATCTATTATGGGCGAGTCTGAATCCTTACTGTGAAAAATGTAACCTGTATGCTGGCATAAAGGTGGGAGCTTGCCCAGCTTAACTGTAAAAACCCAAAAGTTAGAAACATACCACCACCCTCCTCCACTCCATTACAGTGTCATTTTCACACAGCGCCGTACACTTTACAGCAAGCACAGCTGTGGATTGCATTTGGCACAAGGTGGTCTCCTAATGACCTGTGATTGTTTACATTTTTAACATCACTTACGAAGGCGTGACATGGTTTAGGTCATCGTTATTATCACCTTCACCACCATTATCACCACCATTAGCCCGCACCTCCGATTAGCCAGGGTTGGCTATGTACGGTGCTATATACACGTACGTACGCCATCATCCCTCGTCATTATCATCTTATAGTCTCACAGGGCATCTCCCACGTACTGCGTTCATTTCTGCCTCCGCCTGGCCCCCCACTAATATCGTCCAACACTGCCCGCTTCGACCACAGACATCCGCATAATCTTCACCATGTCCGCAGACGTCAAAATGGCTCAGACTCAACATTAACATAAAACCGTCGCTGGCCAACCCGCACCCCGCCATATGGAAAGAAGCGAAACTAAAACTAAACTATGTTTTTCATTTCACCAGGTTCAGGCCAACTGAGCAATATAGCTCTTATTCAGAAGCGACCTGACCACAAATGATAGCTCAACGAAGCGGCTTATCCCGTGTTGATTTTAAATGTGGAGGGAAAAACCGGAGGACCCGGAGAAAAACCCACGCGACCACGGGGAGAAAAAGACAGGCAAGCTCCAAAATGTCCAGGCGTCCTCAGGGCCGGGATCGAAGACACGACGACCACCTGTACACACGAGGCGAGGGAGTTAACATCTCGCCAGCGCAGAACGGCACGCGCGTGGCAGGCCCATGGGGGCAGCACTCACGTCGTGGGTGGCGTGGGCGCGAACACCTCCTTGGTGATGGTGAGCGGAGGCCGCTTCTTCACCTTGTGTCCTGCGGGCAAAGCGAAAGGACACAGCATTTGGGGTTTAGCGGCTGTACACCGGCAACCGAGTGCGGACAAAAAAACCAACCCCGGGCTTGGCTCAGCGCTGGAGCTGCGATCGCGGCCATCAGAGGCACACGTGTTTAAGACAGGAGGCACGTTTTCCGGTTGCCAAACGAATCCATTGTAAGGTCGCACTCATTACGCACAAAGTGCTCGCCACAAATGAACCGCAAAACCTTGCCGATCTCGTCAAGGAGCGTGAACCATCGCATGGAATCCGGTGATCCTCGCAGCAGCGGCTTTTGGCTGGCCATCGGACAAAGACGGTCACCGCATCGCGCGCTTTCAGATGCGTTTCTGCAGCCGTCTGGAACGCTCTTCCTTCCGATATGACGAAGCCACCGGAGCTATGCACTTTTCAATAATTTACATTGAAAACTCATTTCTTTAGAAACTGATTTTGGTGTTTAGTGTGTTGTCCCTTCCCCCGCACCTCCGATTAGCGCAGTTGGCTACGTATGGTGCGAAAGAAGTTCAACATACATACGGTTTAACAACTAGGCTTTCGCGACCAATATCAACAGGCGACTGATGAAGCTAGTGGTAATTACTGGCGATTTGCTCTCCAACACACCGGTGTGCTGTAGTAACGAATTGGCACGTTCTGTTTAAGTGACAAACCTTACTAATTGGCTGTGTCGGGTGGTGGTGGGTTTAACGACACATTTATATTGACGCGACATAACCCCCCCAAAAAAAAACCTACATTATGGCTACGTACATACGAACATCAATGCTGCCTCGCTTACTAGGTAGACCAGGGGTCCCCAACCCCCGGGCCGCAGACCGGTACCGGTCCATGGCCTGTTAGGAACGGGGCCGCACAGCAGCAGGAGGTGAGAGCGGTGAGTCCGTGCGTGGCCCGCCCCCATTATTTTATTATTGACCACTCCCGTCCGTGCCTCTTTCCCGCACTGCGCGCTTGTCTCAATCACAGCGTTGGTAAGCTCACGAGCTCTAACCCCTAGTAGCCAAAATGAGTAAAAAAAAAAAACAAACGTCACTGGAAAGCTTCTTTGAAAAGGGGGAAAGACCCCCCTCTCCCTCCCCGGTCCGTGAAAAAAATTGTCTTCCACGCAACCGGCCCCTGGTGCCAAAAAGGTTGGGGCGCCGCTGTGGTCCACCTCGTGGCTGTTTTGGAGGCACCCGCGGCCCCCACCTCTGGCCAAGGGTGGCGCGAGTTCGACGGTGGCAGGGCGCGGCTACCACCGCCTCTCTGCGTTGCCGTGGCAACGCAGAGGTGGCCACCTCTGCGTTGCCGTGGCAACGGGCAAAGTGCAATAGGAGGGGCAATAAAGTATACGAGCGGCCATTAAAACCCTCGTGATGTCCACCCAAGTTGCCACGTGGGGGAAGAAGAAGACAATCTCTCCCGCTGCGCAAACACGCGCCGTATGATCGCTCCGTGTACGCGTGTTCTCTCTGGGCACGACGATCCATACGGTTTACCCCGTATTCTTGTGCAGGGAAATTTAGTGGGTTTTTTTACACGCTTTCATTTAACTCACACTGTCCTGTTGTTGTTGTCGTTGTTGTCGTCGTTGTTGTATCCTCAAATCTTGTAACTCAATGTTAACCCACTTCCCAATGTGGTATCGACTGCAAACTTAGTATACTTATGTCACACTGATGACAATACTATATTCTATCATAAAAGAATATAAAGTATATTTGCAAACATTATTTTGTATGTGTTACGTTTCGGCTTGGGTCTAATTGCCCACGGTCCCCCTTACGTTGTGGCAAGCTTTGGGGCCACTTACTGGAGTCGTGGAGTTCTTCCATTATTATTATTACATTTCATAAAAGATGTGTTTTTTAAAAAAGCTTTTTTTTTAATATTACTTATTTCTGGTCCATACGGCGTACAGGCGTTTCAATACGGGTACAAACATTTTTTCCGATTTGTTAGTGTTTCTCCCTTGCGATGGGACTTTGTAGGATGAACGTTGAGATTTATCAGGTGACCAATAAGATCTGAATTGGTCTGTAATAAGGGAGGCACTTATCACGGGTTGACAGGTATGCGATTGTGTGCACTGCAAATTCAGTTTTAAGGGTTTATCACGAGCAACGCGTGGTGATGATGATGATGATGCTGATTATAACTACGTGTAGTATTAATATTACCCCAAGTACGCAAAGACCAAGGTCTCCCGTTTAGCCTTAACAGACTGTTGGGGCAAGTGCTGCTAACGAGGGGTGTGTGGCCAGCACCACGCCGGACCACCTTTGTCTCCCCAGTGGCAATGTTTACACACCGCACCAGGTACTCATTTGAGGCCGAGTCGACCTAGGGGAGGCCCTCGTCACTGGTGTTTGCCGTGAGCGGGAGTCGAACTCGGGTCGCCGGGTTTGTGGCGCAGCGTAGCGCTAGCCGCTGCACCACCGCTCCCCACAAGTACACACACACGCACACTCTCCTACATCAGCACTTGTCACAAGAGTCTTCAAAGGCTATACAAGAGACTGTTGTTGTCTTCATGGAGGCATGCCGCGTGCATTTGAAATAAATAAATAAAAATAAGTCAAAACTATTGCAAGCATCTGCCTTTGTCTGCACTCCATAGAATCTTAAAGTAATGGCATAATAAGCGTACATACTCATCCAGAAATGCTCGCGACCGCCAACATTTTACGTGAAATACCAACACCAAACAAAAACCAGACATTCCACAACCCTTTGTTAATTGCAACACACACATCCATACCTCGGCTGTGCCACGGGCCTCATGTACAGGTGAATATACGCGTCTCGTATAGCAACACTGTTGTAATATGTTCAGAATGTCAATTTAACTCCGTGCGCTCGCTGCATGTAAACAATCACTTTTCTTTTCTGGAGCCATGACCTGACCACTAGTGAGAGGCATTAGCGGGCAATATAAATACTGGGAGCTTCAGGGGGAGGAGGGGAATGAAAACACAATCCTCCTCGTCCCTGTGACCCCAGGCGTGGGTAGGGGTGAGGACAGAAGGTCCATGTGCCATCAACAACGGAGGGCCGGACCTGGCAAGCGAATGATCCGTGTGAGTGAGCGGGTGTGCGAGTGGGTGAGTGTGCGAGTGGGTGAGCAGGTGGGTGAGCGGGTGAGCAAGCGGGTGAGCGGGTGTGCGAGTGGGTGAGCAAGCGGATGAGCGGGTGTGCGAGCGGGTGTGCGAGCGGGTGTATGAATGGGTGTGCGAGCGGGTGAGAGCGGGTGTGTGAGTGGGTGAGCGGGTGTGTGAGTGGGTGAGTGGGTGAGCGGGTGTGTGAGTGGGTGTGTGAGTGGGTGAGTGGGTGAGCGGGTGTGTGAGTGGGTGAGCGGGGTTGCATGAGTGAGTAAGCAAGTGCATGAGTGAGTGAGCGTGTGTTCGAGTGAGGGAGCGAGTGAGGGAGCGAGTGAGCGGGCGGGCGGGCGAGCGAGCGAGCGGTCGAGCGGGCGAGGGAGTGAGCGGGCAAGGCGAGTGAGCGGGCGCATGATTGGCCCTGTGCACGAGTGTGCCAGGCTGAAAATCAAACGGCCTCTGCTCCACAGCCAACATTGGCTCCAAGCCCTCTGTGATTGAAGAGTCAAACCGACTACAGTATTACCTTGTTGCAATTTGACTGAGATTAATATTACCCCTTCGGCTAATGCCACTACAACTCGCTCAGCGCAGGCGTCCTCCTGCCCTAGGGAGAAAAAAATTTAAGAGAGGGGGAGGGTAAGGAAAAAAAAAACCCGAACAATTTTCTGTAATAGTTTTTAGTGAATTGAGTACTCTCTCTAAATCTCGCCATCACGCTTTGGCACGGTGGCCCGTCCCCCACTTCATCGTCCAGAAATATTTTTCGTGCCGCGCGAATATTTTTTTTTAAAGATACCACCACAACTCTTGGCGACGGCCATGAATGGGGCCGTTTTTATTTCACGTCCTATGGTGCCGAACAGGCCGCTAATTAGATAATGGCCACAACGACAATCACAATATCCCTCAGCTGCCAACAGAGAGGAAAAAAAGATCCTTAACTACAGTACCTGCGCTTGTCCTAAAGTTTTTTTTCCTCCTAGCGTCTGCAGACGAGAGCACACAGAACCAGCTGTTGTGGTGTGGCATGCGCGGTGAAAATCTGAGCTGAGCCACGCACGCGTGTGCCCTGGCAACACGTGTTATTCATTCCATGTGCCGTCGCGATTTAAAGGCGCACGGTGGAAATGATCACCAGGGTGGCTTTTAACGGAGATAAGCCGTTTAAAGTTGACGTGAGCCAGCCATCGAATAAATTTAATGAAAGATGTGAAAATGCGTTAGGCCGAGAGAGAGAGAGAGATTGAGGGAGAGACGAGTTGCGGCACGTGGATTAGAGAAGCATACGCAGGTTAATGACATAATTTTCAAGTGTTTGGAAAATCAAGTGAGTGAGGCTTGGGCAGGGTACGGTCGGTCATGGGATGGGTCAAGAATGATGGGAGTGGCAGCCAACGGACGGAACGAATCCAAGAGGACTTCCACCGAGAATATGGAGCGATAAAATCAGCCGATGCGTGGATGCGAGTTGGATTATTACACCATAGGATCGATCGGAAGAGGTGGCAAGCGCCTAGGATTTCCCATTTTACTTGCATTACATGACAACACCTGCATTACTAAAGCCTGCAAGGAATCGACCACGTCCAAAGTCAAGATTATTTTTTTAAGTAATAGACTGCAACCTTGAGTTTATAATGACAGTATTATGTTAGTCTGTGCTCCTTCTATGGAGGAGGAATAAAAAAAAGTCACGAACTTCCCTTTCCTGAAGCCCTCTCGCAAACAGCAAGACCTCCACGATGGCATTTAGCTCCGGAACATTTTACCGCACATCCAATTATACGCGGCGTGGGCTACGCACAGTGAGAAAGGAGTTCAACAAACGTACAACACACGCAAGAAGATAATTGCTCTGCTCGTTTACCCAATGGAAGCCTCACCGAGTCAGCAC